ATCCTTTGTTTTATTTTAATAATGCATATCATAAAAATTTGTGTTATAATATTTGTTATAAATTATTATAATCCTATATTCTAACGTAATTTTAGGTTGAGTATCAATGTTTTTGAAATTAATAACCGCAACTCTACTTATGTGTTGTTTTATCCGCGTTTGTTTAAAATAATGTGCATTGGAAAAATGTGGAAAATTAAAAAAAAAATATATTTATGAGACCAAGTGCAGAAAATATAATTGTTGAAAATAATTTAAGCAATACAATAAATCACATAATCATTTAGATTAGAAAAAATATAAACGACACTTCGTAATGTTGTAAAAAAAAAAGCAAAAATAATACTAAACAATAAAAGCCATTAAGTAGGGTTTCTTTAATTTACCTTATGTATTTACATTGCAGTTTGAATTTAAAAGTATTTGTTTACTTTTCAATTATTTCATAGGATCCATAGAATTCGTTAAATAAAAATTTGCATTTGCATATATATTTTTACTTTCCTTAAAGAGAAAAATATGAATTAATCGTAGCAGAAATGATAAAAAAAATATGATATACATTTTACAAAATAAGTTTAAAAAATTAAAAATTGTATAGTAAGAAATAAAATAATTCTCCTTTAATTTTCGGATTACCAATAGAAAGTATTTTAAACTATTATGCATGCGTTGAACTTTACTTATTTACGTTATAAGAAGTTTATAAATAATGCTTAATTCTATTTGAGAAACTTGTTTTTGGGTATATTTCAATTTGCAAAATATTTTGCACATAAAACATATTATTAATTTACAATGAACAATTTACAAAAATTTTTTGACGTAATTATAAAGTTAGTTGTCGGTGTTACATGCGCTTTTTAACACAACAATTTCGTAGTACATTTCGATAGTTTCAAACTGACCTGTGTTTCTCATCTTTAACAGTAGTAATTACAGCATCGGTTTTTACAACTAGCTCTTTATCCTGTATATGCAAATCACTGTTACTTGTTTCCTTCGAAAGACGAGCATTCGCATTTTGTATCACAGTCTTAGATTCAGAGGTAAGAACATTAGATGATTCAAGCAGATGCGAGAGTGCTTTATTTTTTTCCAAAACATCCTGCCGAAGATTGAACATAATGGTATTACTAGACTGAAAAACATAAAAATTTTTACTTTTATAAACTTAATTATGCACATAATA